GTCTCAAGAGTACCTTCAGGGGTTACCTAAGGTCATGAATGCATGCATGATTCAAGGTTACATGGATATGCTGGACCAACTTGAACAACCATCTTTGGGAAGTGCAGGCCCAAAGCTCTCCAGAAGCCCAACTCACTGTTTACGCATTTGATATGATGACAGAAAGAAGATGCAAAATCCAATGCAAAACTTGGAATTAGAATCTAGAATCCAGTCTAGCACAAGTAATAAACCCGGTCAAAAAATCAGGAATATAATAGTGCTCTAGCTATAAATCTGGAACCAAGGTGAGCTTTCTTCTGTTCTGATTTTTTTTTATTGTGAAAATACTGTACAGAGGGGTTAAAATTACATGGGCAAGATAATGAGTGCATTTCTTATCAAGCATTGTTGCCTCCTCCTTTGTTTCCCCTTCCCATTCCTTCCCATCTCCCCCCCCCACACCCAATCCTCTCCCACCGCCAAATACACAGACTAAGAGGTGGTTCTTAGTCTTCCTGGAAGTATAAGGTCAGAAAGAGACAGGGTTTACCCCTGGACTTTCAGGTGTTCTGAACAGCTCTTTAAAGTGAGGTTGGGCATGTGCAGGACATGATGATTATTGTGATAGTAGAAAACATCTTAGCTCCACCAGAGCAAAGAATAATGAGTGGTTTCATTGAATTGAAACACAAAACTTTTACCTTCCATGTGTTGGTTCCAATTAATAGTCCTTCAACTTAAGATGAATCAAGTCAACTTTCTCTGTCATATACATTTTGTATATATACTTCTCGAATTCAGGGAGGGGACGGGAAAAAACAAAATGCTTAAATAAGGATACAGGTTGACCCATTGTAAAAATGAGACGTACAAAACACTATGTTGAAAATGAACTTTACAACTTTGGCAGGCGTTGGGGGGGGGTAGTTGTGAAGGTGGGAGGGAAGGGAAGGTAGGGGAAACAAAGGGTGAGGCAACAACACTCAATAGGAAATGTACTCATTACCGTGCTCATGTAACTGTAACCCCTCTGCATTTTTACAATAAAAAATGTACCAAGAAAAGCTAAGAGCTGGTAATGATACCTACATTGCTCACTGTCAAGAGCTACTACAAATCATACCAACTTATACCAGTCTTAAACAAGGGATTGCGAATAACAGAGAATATAAGCACCCCCATGGACAAGAAACATCATTTACTCATAGTTAAATATTATTCCAGAACAATTTGGCGAGATTATTTTCTTAAGGTAAACTGTTTGCTCCAAATTAGTTTGGCTTTTATTGTGCTCAAAATTCAAACAAATAATATCAAACAGATGGTTTGAAGCAGTGAATAAATAGGACATGAAAGAGTTCGTATACTTTGTTGTTCTATTTTACAGCTAAACATAGCAATCAGGTTTTGTTGAAACCCAGATAAAATTGCAAAATTAACTTGTTTGGGTTCCAGGTAATCTGGAAGAAATAAAACTTCTCCAGGAGCATGTGCACTTGGAATCTCTTCTTCATGTAATGATCAAGAAATTGATTTAATCTTTCTTTGAGGGTTTCCAAGCTGTAGTGAGTAAGAATGAGAGAGAGAGAGAGAATCATTTTATAGCTAAGTGAATTATGTTAACTAATTGGTTACACAAATTTCATAAATGTAAAACAGAGAGTACTAATGACAGAGGGGAGTGGAAGGGATATACAACACATGAAAAGGTGTCATGGACACTAAAAATACTAAGCTTAAATGAAGAACTAAACATTTGAACATCTCCCAGTGGAATATC